GTGCGGTATGCCTACATTACCCTCCTAGTTTGAATTAGGAGGGTAGTGTAGACATACCCTTAGAATTCTTTGAAGGGGTTAACAAGCATGCGGATAAGGGGGATCCAGTAGATATAGTATACTTGGATTTTCAGAAAGCCTTTGACAAGGTCCCTCACCAAAGGCTCTTGTGTAAATTACATTGCCATGGGATAAGAGGGGAGGTCCTTTCATGGATTGAGAACTGGTTAAAAGACAGGAAACAAAGGGTAGGAATAAATGGCAAATTTTCAGAATGGAGAGGGGTAACTAGTGGAGTCCAAGGCTCAGTCCTGGGGACCAATCCTGTTCAACTTATTCATAAATGATGTGGAGAAAGGGGTAAGCAGTGAGGTGGTAGAGTTTGCGGATGATACCAAACTGTTTAGGATAGTCAAGACAGAAGCAGACTGTGAGGGACTCCAAAAAGATCTCACCAAACTGAGTGATTGGGCAACAAAATGGCAAATGAAATTTAATGTGGATAAGTGTAAAGTAATGCACATTGGGAAAAATAACCCCAACTATACGTACAGTATGATGGGGGCTAATTTGGCTATGACAAATCAGGAAAGAGATCTTGGAGTTATCGTGGATAGTTCCCAGAAAACTTCCACACAGTGTGCAGTGGCAGTCAAAAAGGCAAGCAGGATGCTAGGAATTATTAAGAAAGGGATAGAAAATAAGACACAGAATATCTTACTACCTCCTATAAAACTATGGCATGCCCACATGTTGAATACTGTGTACAGATGTGGTCTCCTCACCTCAAAAAAGATATTTTGGCCTTGGAAAGGGTTCAGAAAAAGGCAACTAAAATGATTAGGGGTTTGGAACGGGTCCCATATGAGGAGAGGTTAAAGCGACTGGGACTTTTCAGTTTAGAAAAGAGGAGACTGAGGGGGGATATGATAGAGGTATATAAAATCATAAGTGGTGTGGAGAGGGCGGATAAAGAAAAGTTATTTAATAGAAGAACTAGAGGACACCAAATGAAGTTAATGGGTAGCAGGTTTAAAACTAAGAAAAGGAAGTTCTTCACACAGCATATAGTCAACCTGTGGAACTCCTTGCCAGAGGAGGCTGTGAAGGCTAGGACTATAACAGAGTTTAAAGAGAAGCTAGATAAATTCATGGAGGTTAGGTCCATAAAAGGCTATTAGCCAGGGGATAGAAATGGTGTCCCTGGTCAGAGGCTGGAGAAGGATGGCAGGAGACAAATCGCTTGATCATTGTCTTCGGTCCACCCTCTCTGGGGCACCTGGTGCTGGCCACTGTCAGCATACAGGCTACTGGGCTAGATGGACCTTTGGTCTGACCCAGTACAGCCGTTCTTATGTTTTTATGTAGTGTAGATGTACCCTTAAAGGGGGGAACGTAGCAGAAGTGTTAAGCTTGCAAAATGCTGGGTTTTACTCATGGTCTCAAACGGTCTGAAAGGACAGTGTTCTCCCTTTGACTTCCTGCAGTGTAGACAGTGCCAAAAGCCGAGTTAAGGTACTTTGATTTCATCTATGCAATTAATGTAGCTGAAGTTGCATATGTCCTAGGAATAAAATTCAAATTCTTACTTCTCCTGTAGTCACAGCTCCAACTCCTTCCTCTTTGCTTTGCTTTGTTTTAAAAAGTCTTAGTTAAATACATATAAGCTACTGTAATCAGAATATTTGTATTAAAAATATTTCATTGGTATAACAAAGTAAAGCTATACAAGATAGGATGCAGTTGTGCTTATTACTGTATCCCTTGGGTGAGCTACATATGACTTTGCAGACAAAGCATGCATTAATTAGGCAAGTACAGTGCTTTTTCAGGGAAAATAATTCCACACCTCAATGATTTAAAAAGCTAAAGGCCAAAAGCCAACAGGACTTTAACCACAAATAATATTTAAAAATACTTATATGTCACTTTATCTATCCATAGCCCTTACAGTATTTTACAAACAAGGGTAAGCATTATTTACCCTTCACAGATGGGGAAACCAAGAACAAAAAGTTACTTTTTTTTTCAAGATTAGTTGTAATAAAGAAACCTGGCTAGCTTTTTTATTTTAAGTGACACTAATTAGGCTCTCAATTCTGAAAGATAAGCATGATATAATTAATTACAAAATATTTTGGCCAAGAATCTAGACAGAATATAGAGCTGCAAGTAAAATGTCAGTTTGTAGTGTCAAAAGGATTGCATACAATATATATAGAAAGAATTGCTACTATTATAATAGGTTTCCAGTTTTTAAAAATGCATATAACTTTTAAAAGGCACATTGGGTCAAATTCTGTCCTGTTACTCTCATACAAATCCAGTCATTTCAGTGGAATTTCACAAAGATAACTGAGGTATCTTTGTGGGCATGACACTTCCCTTCAATGGGAATTACAATGCCTAAAGAAACAGGCACAAATCAATGTCCTTGTTTTTCATGTGTATACAAGTTACATCTGTTAACTAAAATCCAGGCTACCATTATCAGTCCGTCCATGCTTTACCTCCATTCTGCTCCATGTTTTCCTTCACTCCATCTAAGAGTTCTTGTGCCTCTTCTACATTCTCCCCTTCTTCTTCATCTTCATCTTCTTCTCCCTCTTCTGCCACCTCTTCAGTTTCCACTGTTTCTTTAGGAGCAATAATTTTCTCCTATGTAAAAAATGGTTCACAGATACTTTGGTTAAATTCTGCCTTTGGTATTAGACAGGTACAATTAAGGACAACATTTGGCCTACTGTCTGCATCATAGTTTCAGACTAATAATTGAAAGCCAGTGCTGTTACACAGGTGTAATTAATAAAGCTGCTAGAAGACTTATTCGGCATTGCTCAGGTCCTTCATGGCAGGGGGCTGACGGCATGTGGAATGCAGGAATCAGGTCAGGAGTTGGGGGGGCCCAGGGCAGGTAAAGGGCAAAGTTTTGGACATATGTGGGAGGGGCTCAGGGCAGGGGGCTGGGAACTGTGAGGGAAGGGCTCAAGTCAGGGAATGGGGATGCAAGAGCCAGGGCAGGGGATGAAGGGACTCTCATAGGGGGCTGGAAGGGCTCACCAGGACCTCCCACAGTAGTGAGGATGGTGCTACAGCTTCCAGCCCCTTTCAGGTGGCAGGCCTGATGGGGCTGTAAAAAAGCCAAAAATGGCTCAGAATTTAACAGGTAGATATTAACAACAATGAATCCCAGTGATGATTGAACCTATCATCTTTTCAACAAAAAGTGCTTTCAGTCATGCTTGCAACTACTTCCATTGTTTCACATGGATTCAACAGACATTTTAAGCTTAAGACTGATGTATGGTGTGTGACTGTGCTGACTGTGTTGTGTGGATAGTTGTGTTGATTTTTTGGGCGAGAGATGTGTGTGGCTAATTGTGTTGAGTTGTGTGGGGGGAGAATTGTGTGGATTTGTGTGCTTGCAAATGAGGGGAGCCTATGTGAGTTTGGGGTTATTGTATATGTGCATTGTCTTGTGTGGGGGAGTGGTTGCTTGTATATACTGGGAGATTTCAGTTAATTTTTGCAGGTGTTAGATGAGGGATTTGTGCTGATATGCAGGGCTATATGTGTTTGGGGTTATTATGTGTGTTGTGTTCTTTCGTGGGTGGTTTTCAAGAACTGTGGCAGTTGGGCCAAGTAATCTGATATCTGTGCAGACTCCTTCATATACCCGATGAAATTTTTGCATGTAAAATAGCTATAGAGAAAGGATGATATTTGGGTTGATAACACCATGTTCTAGGACTCTTGGCATGGCAGAGACATGGCTTCTTATAGGTGTACACAATATGGGTGTAACTCATAAAATCAGCATTGCTGAGAACTTAAAAATGTAAGATTCTGAATCCTAGGCTATATCTACATTATAATGATCTATTGGAAAAAGGTTCACAAATTGAGTTCCACAATTTGTGTACCTTTTTCCAATAGTTTTTTCAGAAGAGGCTTTTCCAAAATTTGGCCCATCTACATTGAGCCAAATTTTGGAAAAGCCTCCAGGAAGACAGGACTTCCGAAAGAGTGCATCTGCTCTTCTGCAAAAAAAAAAAAAAAAAATAGTGGAAGAGCAGACGCGTTCTCTAGACGCAGCAGAGTTTTTTCTGGGATACCTCCTGGTATCCCGGAAAACCCCCGTAGTGTAGATATAGCCCTAGTGACGATTAAACCTTGTGATAGTCTGAACAAAAAGAACTTTCAACTGTGCTTGTAGCTTTTTCCAGCTTCACACCAACTTAGACATTCTAGGATTCAGAGTGACACACAAGAACATAGGTCACACAGACTGACAATCCTGGAATTTTATGATATAGATATGCAGGACTTCCAAGGTCCTATGCTTTGATGTGCTGAGCCATGTTCACTAATCATTATTAGTTAAAATAAGCAGTGTTAAGTGCTCAGTATGTCACAAGACCATGCCTTTACAGCCTAGGTTAAAGAAAGTATTTTTTGGCTTTTGCAGATACTGAAAAATGGAAAAGGCAAGGATTAGTTTCAATAGCCACAGTTGGACATCTACAATGGAGTTAGAATATTTTTAATTCCTTGTTGCATTCTACTAAAAGAAGGTTATTTCCTATTGTCATTCTACAACTTCTAAATCACAGTTTTCGAATGAACTTTTAATTATTTCAAATATCTGACATTTTAAAATTATGAAAGCCAAAATAATGATCCTACAGAGGAACTACCCACGTACTAGATTTTCTATTGCTTCAGCAATTACATCCTTTATTTTAATGTGATGTAGCTTGTAGTATTTGCAGAGTTCTTCAGTAACGGTAGATTTCCCAACTGCAGGAGGACCAAGAACACAAATGTTGATTGGCTGAAAGAAAATCAAGATAAAAAGGAATTAAGCAAGGAGTGTGATTTTTTGTTTTAAATTACTGGTCTTTTCCCTAGGACCAATAGAAAATATAACAACAAACAAATTAAGGTAAAATTGGATACCTATTTTAGATGAATTTTCAGTGTATAAATCCTACCCTTGGATAGTCTGGTTTTGCAGCTTAGTCTGTCCTACAGATCTTGATATCTGAGAAGCTGTCCTCTCTCTGCAGCTCACAGAGATGGATCAGAGTTTTGGAGCCACATGAGCTGTGTCTACATTGGCACCCTTTTCCGGAAAAGGGATGCTAATGAGACAAGTCGGAATTGCAAATGCTGCGGGGGATTTAAATATCCCCCGCGACATTTGCATGAACATGGCTGCTGCTTTTTTCCGGCTCGGGGCTTTGCCGGAGAAAAGCGCCAGTCTAGACGGGATCTTTCGGAAAATAAAGCCTTTTCCAGAAGATCCCTTATTCCTGATTTTAAGAGGACTAAGGGATCTTCCGGAAAAGGCTTTATTTTCCGAAAGATCCCGTCTAGACTGGTGCTTTTCTCTGGCAAAGCCCCAAGCCGGAAAAAAGTGGCAGGCC